ATTGTAAAATTATAACAAAGCTTCTTCATAAACAACGTTTGCAGTTTGCTTTCCATCTACCAACAAATAAAGATTTTGAGGTGATCCCACCATTGAACTCCCTACATCTGATTGACCATGAGAAGGGCATGGTTATTTGAAAAAAAAATCTAGCAACTATCATACTTTGACTTTGAATTCTTTTAATATATTTATCATTCTCTAAAGCCTCAACCTGCCAAGATTGTTTGAGATTGACTCAATAGGCTGGAAGTAATTAACCAACAGGTTTTACAAAATAGAAATTGGTTTAAATTCAATTTTGACCCCCTTAGGACATTCTCCATAGTTCATAGTGTTTATATACAAATTTTGGTTGAGATTGATCCAATAGGCTCGGAGGAGATAGGGTGCAAACAAACACATATTTTTGTTTATATATATAGATATGTCTTAACAAAAACTTGTTTGGAGACAACTATATATATTTATATACATACATACATACACTAAAAAAAACGCTAGCTTAACGACTCGTTACAAAAATAGTCTTTCAATCTTTGAAACATTTTGTCTATTTGACGTATACATATGTAGTTTTTTGTTGTTGTTATTTTATAACGCCACAGTTTATGAGTTAGTATTGAAATGAAAAAAGTTTACTCTACAAAACGAATTAGTATGACACATTATGTCACTTTGGAGTAATCTTTCTTTACTACTGCCCTGTGCAATATGTCAGTTATGATAACACACGATTCAAAAAATATGTTTATCACGTCGGTCAGAATGGCAGTGGTGATCAAGGCTTAAACGAGTTACATCACTGTTCCATGTCACCGTAGTTAACCTTCCTCACAAGGAATTAGTTAGAAACAAGAAGGGTACAGCTGGTCCCTATTCCTCCTAGTAGGCCAGGATCAAACGCAGGAAGCCTATCAATAGAATCTATTTACTAGCGCTAGTTGAGGCTGTCAGTCTATAGAGTCTGGCGTCTCCATACAACGGATATACTCCTAAATCTCTTGTCTAGACGCCTGCAAGTGTACCACGGATACTACAAGACAGTGAGAGCTGTAGAACTTGTCTAAACTGTTTTGGAGTTGTTGCTATCGTAACTCCCTTGAAGAGCTTTCCAGAACAAACAGGATTGGAAAACACTATACTTTCTCCTATCATCAATCACAATCAATCAGTCAAGCTTTCACTCTAATCAATCTCACAGTATTGAAGTCCCAACATTACAAATCACACGGCTTATAATAACACGTACAAGAAAACGGACATTATTAGTCTTATAATTTATTTTACATGAGAAGTCTTAAGACTGGAAATAAAATCATTACTAACATATAAGGTATACGTATGATTTGAGTAAGGCGTTTGAAATTATAGAGGAGCCACTGAAGTCTTAAGAGCTTAGTAGACATACACGATGCCTAGCAGGCCTTCATTGGAGTAGCTTGAAATGTTTAAATAAAACTTAATGACATCATTTTTACTGCTACTTAAACTTCTAGACCTTTTTGCATAATGTCATTTCAGTGTTCCTGTTAATATTATTCAAATGTCACTGGAGCTAGTTTTTAACATTTTGTTATAGCCGGATTAACATGAAGTAAACTCTTCACGTTAGTTTCCTCTAACCCGAATGATTAAAAATACTTGGAAAACTTGTGAAAAATACATTTTTATTTCGTTAACGTTGAACAAGAAAAAATAGTGTGGCATAGTTGAAGTCTATGCCTTTCCATTACATACCGTTGAAATTGGTTGATTATCAAAGATATTTCAGTGACAAAGATAACGGATAATGGTACATACCACAACAGTTACACGGTATTGCTGATGGCCAGAGTTATCGAATAAAACTACGTTAATTAGATGCAATTCAAAATAATTTTAAATAAACCAGAATTTAAAGAGCACTCAAACCTCGTATTCAACGTCACATCTCATATCTTCATCGTCCTGATCTGGATCTCCAGCACTAGGATCAAATTGACCATCCATTACGTCATCTTCTAGAAAAGACATCTGATAGTGACCACCGGACTGCATCAAGCTGGGTCATGAAAAGCAGCAGTAAACAAGACTGAACAAACTGCAAACACTTTTAGCAAACAAAAAAGTGTGTTTTTACATATACGAGATGTGATATTGTTGTGTATATGTAATCTATTCAGATGAAAGACGAGAATTAATATGCATGGTTAGATGTATAGTCCTTTACTCAGAGCCAATCAAAGACTATATTAGACTGAACAAACTGCAAACACTTTTAGCAAACAAAAAAGTGTGTTTTTACATATACGAGATGTGATATTGTTGTGTATATGTAATCTATTCAGATGAAAGACGAGAATTAATATGCATGGTCAGATGTATAGTCCTTTACTCAGAGCGAATCAAAGACTATATTAGACCTCTATATAATATTTTCTTCACTTAAATTCACGTTCTGTTGAAAAAAAATAACTAGGAAATAAATAGAGGTGTAATATTCCATGACTAAACCACCAATGCCTTTAGAAATAGTATGAATAAATCTTTTCCATCGAATGTTTCATTATTAATTAGCTAGGCGTTTTTATGTATTCGAAATTATTGAAATCATGTTTAAATATGATGTACGCACTTTCTGAGTTTTTAATACACAAAGTATACATTCTATTACAATTTACAATTTTTATAGTAAGTAAGATTTGTTTTTAAAACGGGTACGACGTTTCGATTACTGGTGCGATCATTCTCAAGTACACAAGTTTTAATCGGTTTGTTTTGTTTGTAGTTATGCACAAAGCTACACAATGGGCTATCTGTGCTCTGCCCACCACGGGTATCGAAACCCGGTTTCTAGTGTTGTAAGTCCGCAGACATACCGCTCTGCCACTGGGGGGTTGTTTTGATTGATAAAGAACGCTAAAACTTGTGTACTTGAGAATGATCGCACCAGTGCTCGAAACGTCGTACCTGTTTTAAAAACAAATCTTACTTACTGTAAAAGCTGTAAATTGTAATAAAATATACTTAATCAGTAAGTAAACTCAAAACGAAACTATAAAGCATACATTTAATGTGTTGGATAACTTAAAGTTGACTTTACTAAACGAGGGCATACAAATACTAGTAATCTAAGAAATGGTTTGAACGAACGTGGCTAATTTATCTTACTTGACATTATTATGTTACTTTAGGTTAATTTTTGAAAGAGTTCGATCTAATATCACATAAAATTGCTTCAACGGGATCACATTCGATTTACTATTCTTTCGTAAGAGCGCATATAATCACTAAGACTACATGTTCCGTGCCACGTTTATTGTGCCATCGACGAGTCAGGTTCAAATATTTTATTGTCATGTGTAGAATTGTATATGTATGTCAACTTCAGAATAAGCAACTTTGTATTTTAGTTTTGATGTCAGAACTGGATTCAATATACAGTAAAGTATTCGTCTAATAAATGAAACGATTTCTGGTTCCTAAAGATGCCTAGAAATTTGGGATCTGAATTACAAATATATATAATGTTTAACTATTTGCAAATAAAAGTGAATTCGAACAAACTAAAAAATATTTACCTTGTCTGTCCAAATGGAAAAAACCCAATGGATGACGTTTCCCACCCCCCTGACCATTCTGTCTGTGTAGAACTATCACAATAAATTGGAGATGGAGATGGCATTACAGTCGATTCAGTGGCCATGTTAGGCTTAAAATTGCTGGAGCTTCGCCGTAGAACTTCAACGATGATTGGTTCTTTCGCTGTTTGGAATGCTTCTACAGCGTCCTCGTGATTAGCCTTGGACAAATCTTGCCCATTTACCTGTTAAAAACGAGAAATGTTTAGCATCTTGTACACGTAATTCTTTTAGTGCATATTCAAAAAAGCAATAAAATCACCTCTTTTACTATATAGTCTAAAACATAGATTTATATGTTATTCTATACTGATATTTTAATCCTGTTGTTTTTATGCGTAGTTTCAACATTACAGCAATGTATAGTAGTGATAACTCAATCACGCTCTCTCTCACGCGTGTGCATATTTCGGTATTCGTAAGTTGTACATTTTCGCCAACTTAGTTTGTACTTACTGGCAGATACCGACATATGTGGACTTACATGTAATATATACTTAGCATCGTTAGAGAAATATATGGAGATAATTAGTTACATACAGTAGTTTCTAGTCCCACTGTGCCTCATATATACTTAGCATCGTTAGAGAAATATATGGAGATAATTAGTTACATACAGTAGTTTCTAGTCCCACTGTGCCTCATATATACTTAGCATCGTTAGAGAAATATATGGAGATAATTAGTTACATACAGTAGTTTCTAGTCCCACTGTGCCTCATATATACTTAGCATCGTTAGAGAAATATATGGAGATAATTAGTTACATACAGTAGTTTCTAGTCCCACTGTGCCTCATTATTCGACATTTATTATTCCGGGGAACAGCAACCTTCCGCTTTCATGCAAAACAGGACCTTCTGGTTATACACACATTAGTTATTAATTAATTAATATATTTTTACGTTATTTAATTATGTATTATTATTATTACATATAAGTTTACTTCAAGGTCCCAATGTAAATTGGGATTGCACTTTTAACAGAAAGAAGTGACAATCAAGACTGTTAATCTCTGCTGGACACCATAGCAACTAGACAAACAAACAAACGCAAACCTAGCCTAGCATCCCACAACCTGGTATATAATCGCACAAACTAAGCTAATTAATCTAAGGTAACAAGTGTATTCTCAAAATAACTCGAAATGAATCCGGTTTTTAGGGAAACTAAGAAGGATATTAACACTTTTAACTACATCCAGTGAGAAGAAAAGCTTAACTAAGTAAGTCAGATGCTTTTCAAGATTTTAATTTTTTATAATTTTAAGACAGTGAGAAAATGAGGAAAATTATAATTCTAAACTATTTTTGTAGTCTATTCTTGGGCAACATTTTGTTCCTTTAACCCTTTCCTTGTTTAGACATAGATAACAATCAGTGTTTCTAATCAGGATGCCATTTTCATAAAGTTCGAATAAATCCTAAGACCATGTTAGTATGACAAAATAATTGTTAATTATAAAGCATAATGGCTGCCAAAGATAAGGCTTGCTGTAATCTCTGACCCGTATAGACTTAATGTAATTAGTCAGGACAGATCTTGTTCCTATCGCCTATGCTTCCCGTAAATCTCATATTCGAGTAAAGTCCACCCTTACAGCTACGGTTGTCTCAGTGTTAGATATCTAAGGCAGTTCCACAGCTTTGAAGCCCATTAGTGTAATTAGAGTGTCATATGGTGTTTGATTCAAATATATATGAAAGATTAACGTTCGGAAAACTAACGGTATGATGAATTGTAGACCACGTATACATATGAATAGTAGAGCATTCCGCAACACGTGATACCAGATTGAACACTAGAGGGTGTGATAATCCATATAGTGGTCTATATTTTTTTTAATGTGAAAAGAATCTGTTCAAAATTTGGTGGATAATATAAAAAATGTGAGCGTACTGCTAGTTTATTGCACTCAAGTACTAAGCTAATTTTTTTCTACTGGTCAATAAATAGCAGTAAATATTCACTAGTCTTTCGGTACTGAAGTGCTCTTGCTGACGGTAAACATTTCCGTTAGTTCTGGGCGTTGATATCAATTTGTTAGAGTGATTTTGGGATAAGTTTCAAAGTATTTCCTTAGGGTAAAGATGTCAACAACCGAATTATGTTTGGTATTGCTTTCTATTTATTTTGTAGATTTCAAAAGAACAGATATTCATGATACTAATTTTTCACTATGATGCAAATTGTAACAGCTCATGTATGTTTGGTACTAATATATATATTATTCTACAGGTTTCCAACGAACAAGTAGTCGTAGTACTAATTTCCATTATGTTTTCCATTATATTTGAATAATTTAAGTATGTTTAGTGTAATTCTGTAGATTTTCAAAGAACGAGTAACTGTGGTAATAATGCTATGACGCAACAAGCGACATGATTTTATACAATAACAAGTGTGTGTGTGCTTTTCATAGAAAAGTCACATCGGGCTATCTGCTGTATCCACCGAGGGGAATCGAACCCCTGATTTTAGATTTGTAGATCCATAAGACTCACTGCTGTCCCACCGGGGGGGGGGGGACATAATAACAAGATAAAGTGTAATTAAAACAAAAAATAAAATAATATAAAAGAAAATATATATATATGAGAAATTTCAACTAACTTAATTTATCTTTGAATATATTCTAATATACTTAAGTCATACAAGGATTGTATTTTATGTTTACATATTTTGAAAAAAAAATTATGTAATTTAGGTTATTTATGTTTAGTTTAATGTTTATATTATAGTTTTTCTTTAATATTACTTCCTGAATAGTAACCTTCAAAGTCACTAAACCGGTAGAAGAAATTGATAAAGAAAAGAATAGAGTCTTAAGTATTGTAGTCCGTCACACCAAACATGCTCGCCCTTTCAGCCGTGGGGGCGTTATAATGTGACGGTCAATCCCACTATTCGTTGGTAAAAGAGTAGCCCAAGAGTTGGCGGTGGGTGGTGATGACTAGCTGCCTTCCCTCTAGTCTTCAACTGCTAAATTAGGGACGGCTAGCGCAGATAGCCCTCGTGTAGCTTTGCGCGAAATTCAAAAACAAACAAACAAGTATTGTAGTATTATCGCTCACACTGAATTTCCGACCATTTGATAGTCCAATACCGCCAAGGATAGACCTATACCTGGAGGATTATGTTACAACCATTTCCCTGAAAAGATATTCGTACAGTGCAATAGAAATCAGATGTAAGCCTAGGACACACAAATATAAAATAGAGTACCTTTTGAACATAGTGAATAGCAGAGACAAGAAAACTTCATGAAAACCCATCTAAACAATATCCTCCCCTCATCACCAACACACGCATGACTGTTGCTAAAATTATCAAAATTTGCAGACTTCCCTCCTCTACACATGAACATACAAAAAAAGCGATTACTAACAAGTTGTATCGCACCAAATGTGCACAAGATAATCCACTAATATCTTACACTTAAAAACAAGCATAAACTACAAATACAACAGCTTTTTCCCAGGTACTGGTGAATAAGTGTCTAACTGCTGGAAACAGAACGTAAAGTACCCTGCACCCAACATGGACGAGGACAGTCTACTTGAACGACTGTGGTTCAAACGGGTTATTTGCTACAAACAACAAGACGATAAAGACTTTCTCAGGTGGTACAGAGAATTTAGATAAAGTTATTTTCATCGGGTGTTACGGTTGTCGCAGGTTTTCATGTAATGGGAAATTTAAACTTCACAGATACGAAGTAAAGCAAACTGGAACTCTAGTTACTACGAGGAGAATGTAAGGATACCAGTCATGCGAGGTGAAATTCCTGCACTGTACGACCAGGATACTAAGAAGGTATGGTTATATTAGAATAAGGCGACAAGTAACACATCTAAGGCCTGGGCAACATCTTTAATGAACCATGGAAAATGAAACCGAGGTTCACGATGTCACCTGAATGTGTACCCAAGGGCTTCCGTAAATTTTATTTGCAAATTACTTTGGAAGCCGACATCCGCATACAGTGCAAAGAGAGTCTATGAGAAGTTGGTCTGAGATTGACATAGTCGTCCTTTGCAGAAACTTATTACGCATATAGTGTATAGAGAGTCTATGAGAAGTTGGTCTGAGATTGACATAGCCGTCCTTTGCAGAAACTTACTACGCATATAGTGCTTAGAGAGTCTATGAGAAGTTGGTCTGAGATTGACATAGCCGTCCTTTGCAGAAACTTACTACGCATATAGTGTATAGAGGGTCTATGAGAAGTTGGTCTGAGATTGATATAGCCGTCCTTTGCAGAAACTTACTACGCATATAGTGCATAGAGAGTCTATGAGAAGTTGGTCTGAGATTGACATAGCCGTCCTTTGCAGAAACTTACTGCGCATATAGTGTATAGAGGGTCTATGAGAAGTTGGTCTGAGATTGACATAGCCGTCCTTTGCAGAAACTTACTACGCATATAGTGCATAGAGGGTCTATGAGAAGTTGGTCTGAGATTGACATAGCCGTCCTTTGCAGAAACTTACTACAATGGAAAATGCAGTGTCGGGCAATAATGGGCACAATCGACGACGAAGGAAGAAAATCCCTTTATCTAAAATCTACTTGTCCTATAAGGCAATGACGCGCAAACTTTTTTGGCGCCCTCCCCCCTTCTAAACATGCGTTTTGTTGCGCCCTCTCCTCGCTCTCCGTATCATTTATTTCTGTTTGTTTGTTTGTAATTACGCATAAAGCTACAAATGCGCTATCTGTGCTCTGCTCAACACGGGTATCGAAACCCGGATTCTAGTATTGTAAGTCTGCAGACATGCCGCTGTGCCACTGAGGGGGGGGGGGCTTTTTATTTCTGTATATACCGTACATGTCATTTTCCCATGTTAACTGTTGTTACTGTATTATTTGATAATAGTAATATTTGTACAGTAGTTTTTAAAACTTCATTATTCTAAATCTATACTTTTAGATATAATTTATATACTCTTATAGTCATAAATACGCGTATGCTACCGACTATCCACAGTTTGGAAACAACACCTATAAGAGAATAAATCTCATTAGAGTCAAACTAACAGGTAAGTATGGATATGGTACATGATGTTTCTGAACCGTATTATATTGTCAACTAAAATCACTTTCCTCACAAACTCACTCTTCTTTCAACAATACAAGACTAATGACTTTAATAATGACACTTTCAAAGAGAAAGTGAGATACC